AAGCTGGGGCTTCCCCAGGTACAGCTCTTCAGCGCATCGTGGCATGGTTTGCGTGTCTCTCCATTTACGAAGCTCGTAGTCTTCCGTATTAGACCAAAGTTGCCTTCCTGCGGAGCTGTTTGCGCTTTCTGTTCCCAGCGCAGCCTCCCCTACTCCGTGCTCCTCTTCGGACTGTGCGGTCCCACTTCCCGGGCGCATGATGCGGTGTAGACATTTCCAAATGGCTCAAGGTATTCTTTGTTTTCTTTGCCTTAAAAAGTGCTCTGCCCCTCTTTGAAAACAGCCTCAGCTGCTTTCTTAGCAGGGTCTGACCTCTTGAGTTCCTCTCTTGCTTTTTTTTTTTTTTTTTTTTTTTTCTGAGCATGTCTAGAGGATCATTCTGTGGCTGTATTTATCCTCTTCATTGGATCTCCGTAGCAGGGGCTGGTTTTAAAGCCTAAAAGCACAACCCCATCTGTCTTGTGCCTCTGGGGCATAGTAAAGGGCCCCGTCCTGCAACCACTGAGCCTGTGAGCGATCTCGCTCGCAGAAATGTATGTTTTCGTTGTCAACCAGACCTGCCTATGGCAGAATGATGAAGATGGCAGGTTTTAATTCATTTTCCCAAGTGGCCGCACTGGACCTTCAGACTTCTGTTTTTCCAAGTGAAGCTCATTCTTCTTTGTTGGCACTGACGTTCAGCGGTTAGATTTTGGGTTCGAAGAGGACAACGTTTCTTGCTATGGGATTGATTCATTTATGCGTTGAGGTGTCAGCAGGTTGCACGAGTGCCTGGGGAGAGGCAACTCCACGTTGGCATCCCTTGCCTGGTGACACTTGGGTGGCCTTGTCCGAAGGGTAGGTGGGATGCCCTCGCCTGTGCGCACACAAGGAAGAGAAGGTAAATTTGTCACTGTAAGGACCGTTCCAGCCTTCCAACACCTTGATTGCAGCCTGGCAAATGGACAGCATGAGACTAACTCCTGGGATTAGTTAACCCCTCCTCTCCCCTTTCACTGGGTGAGTCCTAAAGATAGCTGGGCAGAGGGCTTGAAGGTAAAACCATTTACCATTGCCCTCTGACCACTCGGGAACGCTTTTCTTGCTGCCTGGTGTCCCTCCGGGAAGTAAATCACAGCCGCAGCAGAGGGCGGTGTGTTTGTCCCTGGAGGCCCCTGTCTCCCAGTGACCTTCTCAGCTCATGAAGACAGCTTGGCTTTGCTGTAAAGCAGCTCATGTGACAGCGGTAATCCGCAGCTAGTAAACAGCTGTGCAGGAAGATTGCAGGGGAATCGCCCTATTTTCCCCGCACTGCAGACCCTGGCAGGCCAGCACACGAGAGCAGGACGGTGGTTTCTGCTTGCTGTGGGAGGTTGCTATCTCCTTGGCTGCACCGGTCCATCAGCAGGTTGGTATGTTTGAAGCCACACCAGCCACCGCTGCAAAGCACGCTTGCCAGGTCGGGAGCTCACACGTGCTTCCGTGAGTCGGCGTGAAGCTGCGAAACAGGTTCCAAGAAGAAAAACAAAAAAAAAAAGGCAATTTCTCCTGAAGTGGTTTCCTCTGAATCTTTTTTCAAAACCAGAGGTGGCGTTTCTAAGCCTGAATTTGACTTGTTCCTCCTACCCCCCAATATCCTTTGGCTTAATTTGTTCCCTGATGTGTACAAATTCCTCTCTGAGTAACGCTTTCTGATGGCTCGCGTGGACCCCCTTCTGCTCCAGGGATACTCGGTCACTGGTGGACTTTTTTGCCGTTTGCCCACAGAAAGTTAAAGTGTGCCCTGGAGAAGACTCAGACTCTGAGAAGGGGAAGGCTGAGGGAACACTAGCTTGGAATTGGTATAAAATGAATCACGGTATTATTTGTTATTCCCATACCCAGCTTACAGATCAGAGCAAACTTTCCCTCCCCACTGGTTTGCCTCCTCGTTGCCACACGTCCCTGAACTTCCTCATCTCCGTTTTCCCCTCCGTGATTTTAATCCTCAAAACCTCAAGCACGTCCGAAGGGAAGTTCAGTGAACAGGGACTGGTGCTGACGAGTCGGAGGAGCCGATGACAGCTAAAGCAGTCTCCGACCGAGATCCAGGCTGGGGCAGCCAGAGGTTCCCGCACCGTGCGGGCAGTGGCAGCCGTAAACTGCCAGCAATTCGACTCAATTCCCTCCAGGACGGAGGTGCCTTTGATCAGGTGGGCAGCAGTTGCTTCGTACCCGTGTAATCCCTTGGTCTCTCTACCGTCTCGGCCAGAAACCACCAGCAGTGTGTTTGTGGCTTCAATACATTGTCCACCAGTGGCCTGAGACAATCCCTCATTTCGTGTAAGCTACAGAACAGCCTTCAGAAGTGGCCATCTGTTACCGCTGGCCTATGACAGATTTGAACGCGAGACCTCGCAGTGAAAGGCTCTCTGCTATTCCCCTGAGCCGCCTGATCTCTTCCCTTCCACCCCTTCCCATCAAAAAAACCCCAGCTTTGTACTTCCAAGCATTAGGGGATTCTAATTGGTGTGTGCACGACAGGACCACTGCATTTAAATGGTGAACATATAGCTAATGGAAGCTGAGTTTTATTGCCGGCATAAATATAGTATGTTCGACTCCTTTGAAGTCACGGGGATGAGCATCTGGGGGTGTTTGTGTTCAATTATACACCATCGCTGAATTTTGCCCGCGGTTGTTTCCCGTTGCTCTAAGCCGCAGGTGCCTTACGATGTCCTCGGCCAAATCTTCTCGGAGATTCCTGGGACATTTTCTTTGCAAAAAAGGGTCTGAGTCGCACTTCCAAATAGGAGTTAAGTGTTGAGAGGTTTGGAGTCCTGCTGCAAATGAACGAGACTTGGACTTGGCTGGGTTTTAGGCTTTCTGCTTGTTTGCTGCTGTCAGAGATGGGCTTTCTCGCTTCTGGTCCGGATGGACCTGCGGTCTGAGCCAGAGCAGCCGTTCCTACAGCCTGCGAGCGGCACTCCGGTCTGAATCATCTGCAGCAGATGCAAAGCAGAAGGGATTCTCCGGCCACCGCAGCTCCTTTTTGTCTCGGGAAGCGGTTTCCGACCTGTTCTGTCCTGCCCTGGGAAGCGACAGGACAGACTGTTACACAAGCGGCTGCTTGATTCTTCGAGCGATTTTTGTCCGCACGGGTCCGTGTGCCACGAGTCTCCCCTTTACGGCTCTCTGTGTAGCCGGGGTGAGACGCACAGGGAGAAAACACCTGGAAGACCCCTGGTTTCTGCAAAGCAAATGATCGTTTCTCTCCCTGCATCCATCGTTGCCTTCTCTTGGCATGCGGAGAGGCTTCCTACCACCCAGCCTGCGTGGCTCGGGCTCTGCCGGGATGCACAAAAGTTCTGTGCCTTCAGTCACCAGGCCAGAGTCCAAGTTGGGTTGTGGGTTTGTTGGTTTTTTTTTTTTAATCAACAGATGCGCAGGGTTTAAAAGGGAGGAATCTGCCAGAGGCAGTAGCATACCAAGAACAAGTACTCTTGGGAGAGAGAGGTAGGAACCCATCCCACCTGCCGCGCCGCCTGGGTACTGGAAGATGGCGGTGTGCGAAAAAAGGAGGAATGTGGACTGTAAAAACTTGCTCTTTACACGATACGTTCCACATCTGAGTTGTGTATTCGCCATGATTTATTGCTTACTTTGCTGAGGATGGGCTGGGTCCTGCGGAGAGGGAGGGAGGGGATCTGTGCCAAATGGGTCCCTTGCCCTATAAAGAAGACGGGCTGCAGCCGCCAAAGTGCTGCGACGCTTAACGCCGTTGCAACAGGGGGGTGTGCTGGTTTGTAGCAGGGATGCTCGTATAGCTAGATTTGAAGGGTATGCTTTGAAGAAGAGGAAAAAAAAAAGACCCTTAAGGTGTGTGTCTAGCCCTTTTTTATTCCCCGGAGGAAAAAAGAAGAGTGCTTACCTCTTCGTAGCTAGCGTGGGACCTAACGTAAGGTGAGGCTCCAGCAGAGACACCCCAGTTGCAGTTTTCCGTATCTGCAAGGTAAAGCTCTGAATGCCTTCCCGAGGCGTTGGCCTCCTCCAAAAGTTGCGCACCTTGCTTGGCTGTGAGTTCACGTCACCTCTCTTGGATTAAGAACGTGATTTCCCCCAGCGAGGAGGGCGCAGGGGCCGGGAGTGGGGCACCGGGGGAGAGAACCCATCGCTTTGGACCCGTTCGTTGGCCATGAATGTGCACTCTGTTGTAGCGGAGAGGCTCCCGCTGAACAAGTCAGCAAAATGCTGGGAAAATGTTTTTTAGATGAAGCCAGAGAATATCTGGTTACGTATTACCTTACTGCCAGAACAATAGCTGCTTTATATCCCCATGTGCTAAATGCTCTGTAGTATATGCTAATGTCCGTGTTCACATGTGATCTATCGCGCGGCGTACGAACTTGTGAAACTCATTGAGGTCTGAGTCTGCCGTAGCCATAAAAAACGCATCGAGCTCCTTTCAGAGACCAGCGAGGCCGAGCGCCTGGATTTCATGAACTTTCTAGCCTCGTGCTCTTGGGATACATAGAAACGCCACTTTGGCAGCCATTTCTGCTTCTCATTCATTTCTCAGCCCTCGGTACTCGGGGAATAGTGGAGAGCTTTATTGGAGGTGGCCTGAGCTTCTCCGAGATGGATTTTACTGCTCTCACTTCTCTGCAGCCGTTTCTCATCAGGCCTCTCTGGTCCAGTTAAGCCATTCATCTAAATATTTGTAAAATACGCTACGAATATCTGGAAGTACCTTATACTTGCCTCCCACTTACTCCACCTCCCACCACTGATGCACATAATGTCTTGTATAGAGGTAGAAACATTTAAGTTACTGTGCCTAATGTTGGAGTGTTACTCATATGTGGACATTGAATTTTCTACTCGTATGTGGACTTTGAATTTTTTAATTTACCTGGTAAGCAAAAGAATGTATCTCTTATGAATACATTAATTGCCTCACTTAATGCTCCTCCCCCTACCCTTCCCCCCAACTGTAGTATTTGGCCTTTGTTCAGCCTTTTACACTTGCATTTTATTGTCAGGCTTCCTAGCAGCAGACTATTCAGGTTGCAAGTGGAGCCTAGCAGAGAGTTCATCAGGTGAGTGGATTTTTGTGGTGGTAGTTTGGAATAACGGGATTTGGCTGTCGTCAGTATTGCCACTTTGTTCCTTTAGGTTCCTGACTATGTGGTGTTTCTTGGGGTTAAAAGGGCTATATCTATCTGTCTCTTTTTTTTATTTTTTTATTTTTTTTTTATTTCCCCCCTCTTCCTTTCACACTTTCAAAGGGGAAGATATCAGACGTTGGATATATTTTTACATCCAGGCATCCTGTAATGGCTCTCTCAGCCGCTGCTCTGTGCCTGGACAGGGTTTGGGCTTCTGGGGTAGGGATGCGCATGCCTCTGGGGTGTGCTGATATCCTACAGCCCAATCCCGTTAGCCTTACGCAAGCGGAGCTCTCTCATAATTGTTACTTAAGCAAAGAATTAGTGAGGAGCAGGACAGAGCTGGGCTCGGAGCCCGTATTTTAATGACACTCAAGCAGCGGTACTGTGGTGATATGGATGGGGTTGCGGGGAGGTTGTGATTTTTGGGATTTGTAAAATTTGGCTTTTTAAAGGTCACGGACACGATGCAGAGTTAAAGCAGCAACGCAAATGGGAGAAAAGCCCACAAATACGCTTTCAGCACCCATCGGCTTTAAGAAACTACAGACTGAACATTATAGCAGAAACCTAAGTAAAGAAGTAGCCTGTCCCCTGTGTCACGCAGCACCGGAGCGTAGATACGAGAGCTTGTGTGTGTGATTGCTGATGCTTTTGCCAGTTGAAGTCCACCAGATTTTGGACTGTGGGCACATCTGTCTTGATACGCAACTGTATTCCCCTTGCACGCTATTTATGATTTGCAGGGGTGCCCAGTGTTCCTGCAGAAACTGCCAAATAATTATCTGCTTTGTTAGAATAGGTGATATTTCAGTGCTTAAATATATATATATGATTCAATTCAAATGAATTTATTATAAAATGGACTTTTGTCATTCAAGTAATATGACATTTTACCTGTTTTAGATGGTACCCTGCCTTCATTCTCGCAGTAGCCTTTAACAAAACCATATAGAAAATACAGGACCCTAAAGACTGTTTTTAAAGGCAGGATAAGAATCAGTCTCAATATGCAATTCATCCTCTGGAAGAGCCCCTGTGGATGTTAATGGCATAGCAGGCAAGTCAGTAAAGTATTTACAGCAAAATATAATAGGGGTCCCTATTAGGTGATGGTCCAGAACCTTTAAGGTGCTGTATTGCCGCCTGTCCATAAGAGGAGCAGGTTCTAATTTATTCTTAGTCATTTCCTATCTCTCCTTTGAGAAGCTTTGCACTGATAACACCAGTCTGCTCCGCCTTTTTTTATTAATGGAAAACAGACCGTAAGAAAAGCGATTCCCAACTTGAGCAGACATTTGGGGTTGCTGTACTTTCTCTATTTTTAACCGTGTTTCCTATATACATGATTGACCATGATAGACTGCTAATCTTATCAGGTGTGCCCTTCACTCCACAGCAAAGCCAGCCGATCAAGGAAGCTTAGAAGGGTTACTCGCTAAGCTTTCGTCTGTGGAGTCCGGTAAAAAAGCTTTCTTTTCACAGGTAGACACATAGACTCCTCGTGTTTTGTCACCTCGCCAGATTGGCTTGGGTTTAGAGTGACGTGCTCTGGGGGACCCAGCACTAGCGTGTGAGGTCTAGGTAAGAACTGAGCTTGAACAGACGCGGCTTTATTCTGCCCCAACCGATGGCCAGGTCCTGTTATCAAGCTCTAAATTCACCCTCAACACCCCATGAAGGGGAGAGGGAGGGACGGGTAACCTTATGTAAGACCCAAGGGCTGAAGGCGTGAAGCTAATCCACCGTCAGGATACCAGACTGCTGCTTTGCCTTCTTTCCCAAGCATCCTTTTCTTCAGCTACATCAAAATGAGGATGAAACAGAAGACCCGGGATTTCAGATTGATCGTTTCCAATGTTAAAAATAACTGCAGCTTTTTCCTTATGTTACTGTCCTCGCTGCAGATGATTGCAGATGGAAGACTTCTGGGATGTCAGGAAAGGGCTGCAAAGACAGAGGTGCATGGCAGTTGTGAAGCGTCATCACAGAAGGAGACGTTTGTCAGCACTACTTGAAGACTGTGGGTCTTTGCTGTGCCAGGGAAGAGTCTGGGTGTCAGGGTTGGCTCACTGGGGTCTTCCTCTTTCCGTGGAAATGTTGGGGTTTCAGAGGAGAGAATTCTGTGAGCGTAGCTGAGTCCCTGTCTGTACGTCACTTGATATGTTGGGCTGTTCCCTCCAGCAAGAGAGACTCCTGTAAATCAGGAATCCCAGCCCCAGTGGTTTTGTCTTAAAGTACTGCAACTTAAAAAGAACTGAAAAGAAAAAAAAAAAAAAAAATCAAACCAAAACCCCAAAATTCAAGACCCCCCAAAACTTGGAATCCTCTTCAGGGATCTTGTTTGTCATTTGACAAGGGAGAGTGGTGACCTCTAGGTCCTTTCTCTGGGATGAAGGCTGGGCTTGTAGCCTCTTGGATCATATATCGAATAAAGCAGGAGGTGCAGACACACCTGCGCTGCTGTGGTCTGCTGAAAGGAGCCACGATAACGGAGTGGTCCCTTTGTGAAGGTGCATTGCCTTCCTCTGCCATAGAGGCAAAAGTAAAAGACCAAGAAATAAGGGAGTTTAAGCCAAAGGTGTTTCAGATCTTGGCTTCGCTGTGACTCTTCCCTCCTTGTAGAGAGGAAGAAAATAGCAGTGTGTCAAAGATGGTAGTGCAATGAGCTGTCCTCTCGCCGCTAGAGGAGGAAGATTGGTCTCTAACCAAGACTTTGGGATAAATAAAAAACAAACATTCGAACTTGGGTTTTTAAACAACACCTTGATGCAAAATGCCAAGCATCTAGCAGTCTTTGCTGAAGCTAAATGAGCGGAAGGAAGAGTGAGCCCAATAAGCATGGTCTTGCATCCTGGCCCGTGCCTTTCTGATGGCATAGGGCTGGAGGTCCCAGATCAACCAGGTTTTACTGGTCAGTGAAGCAGCAGCTCCCGTTGCTGTGAATGAGCAGAGAAGGAAAACTCATTGAAACAGGACAAGAGGAGCCAAGGCTAAGGAAAGAACAAATCACTGACAATTTAAGCAGGTAGGTGATGCCCAGTCTGAGACTGAGATGTGATCCTGAAGAGGAGTCGGATGCAGGGAAGGAAATAGTGGCTCCAGGGCTGTCCTTCCTACCTCCCATGCCGTTGTTGATGGAAATGTTACATCTTGTTTTGTCTCCTGTGCTTATCTTCTGTTCTAAGGAAAAGTCAAGGCTATGATGTAACCTACTAGATTGCAACACTCGGTTCAGTGCTCCATCTGTGGGCTGCCATGACTCAACTTTGCTATCAAAACTTCAGATGCCGTGTTACATTGCTCTTTGTTGTGGTTTTGACCAGAATGGTTTTTGAAAAGACAGGTGATGGATGATCTTGAGGTATGCTTGCGGTCAGCAAGCAGAATAAGGACTTTTTCAAATTATCATTTGGTGGAACACTTTTGTGTTTTGAAATGAATGGCACAGAGGATGTGTAGGAAAGAGCTGTGACTGTTGTGTGCCTAGAAAGTTCTCAGGGCTTAAGTCATTGCATGGGCTTTTTCCGATGGTGAAAACCGTTCTGTCTTGTCCTAAGAGACATCTAATTTGAGTTAGTCGTTGATGCTCTAGCAGTAGTTGTGTGGGGGAGAGAGAGAGAGAGAAGGGCATGCTTTCAGGAGACAGTTTGTCTTATCTTAAAGTAGGTGCCTGTGTCAAGAGATGTCTTCTGCTTCCTTTGTCACCATTGAGTGTGGTAGGATTCCTGAAATGCTTGATTTCTGCAGCTGACTTTGGGTGAAATCCCATCCATGGTGTCATGTCAACACCTCGTATCTTAAGGGACGCGTTTAGTTTGCGGATGTTTCTTCTCTATGGTCAGAGGATTTTTCAGGGTAACGTGACTTTGAGAGCACTCGTGTTAGCTGGTGTGATTTAAACTTGTTACAGAGATCTGTTTTGGTTTTGCGAAGATAGGCGCTCATGCCCATTGCGTGTCCTTCCCCCCTCTTGAAGGCCTCTCGAGTTAGTCCCCAAAAAGGGAGGTGGTCAAGATGATAATTTCTGGAAATCTTGGCAAGCAAGTTTCCCATGCACAGCAATGTGGATTTAATAAAAATCTGTTGTGGGAGCTCTTAACGTGCATGCCGAACAGTGCTCTTTTGTGTTAACAGTAACACACCAGGTAGTCTGCAGCACCGCAGTTACCTGTCCAGGTGAGGATAGGAATGGTCGTAGCTCCAGGATTCAGTTGAAGGACACAGTTGCTCTGCAGTTATTTAAGTACCGGTGGTTGTGCTACCTTTATTGTAGGCAACCATACCTGCCATGGTGCCAGAACACACACGTGACTGCAGACAGCTGGACAGAGCTGCTCAATATCCTGTTTGTATGACTGTCCTTTTTAAAACCAGTAGCAGTGATGCGTAACAGAGTCCCTCCTGTTCTGCCGTATTGCAAAAAGAAATTATAGATGGCTGAGAGAATGAGGTATATCCTGTAATTTACTACGAACCAAGTTTACTGTCAAGAAAGACCTCTAGTGCCAACTGATTTGCCCTGTGTGTCCTCATGCTGTCTCGTATTTGCTTGGTTGGTGACTCTACCAGCAGTGGACCAAAGTTTCTTTACATAAAACGGAGCTTGCAAAATCTTGTTCACGTAGCAGGCTGAAAGGAATTTGAGTGATCGCTTACCCCAGCCCCTTGCCTGAGCCAACATCAGTCTTAGCTGGCTCTAAAAGACCTTTAGTGTTGGAGACTTTGCTCCAGAGCTTTGCTAACCTTACGTTCAGCTGTTGTCTGGGTTCCCCACCCCTGTTCTCCCCCCCTCACCCCTAATATCTAGTGCAACTTTCCATGCTGCACTTCAAGCTCGTATCTTATTCTGTCCTACCGTGGAAAAGACGATCAAATTGTTCCCTACTTACCTGCATCAGTCTTGATGTATTTACAGGCTGTCCGAGGTA